CAGATAATTTAAGAAACTTCGCAAGGCCATTCAGCCACCCAGTGTCAGAGGAGTGATCCAAGTGGTCTCTGTCTCAGGCATGCCACTGTTGAGTCCTGAGGGCTCTCACCCTCTCCAGGACATTTTAGTGGCCCCTTCCGTTTGGCCTTGATCCTGTAGACTATCATGTCCCTCTGTAGACCTTCCTCCCATCTCCCCACCCCCCAGGCTTCAGGAGAGGACCCGGCAGGTGCTGAAACCAGTATGATGCCCAACATTGTGCATGCAGACCACGCTGGGGCCTTAAACGGTGCCAGCAAACTATTCCCTTATTTCTGGTTTTCATTAAGTTACCCATCATATATACCGTAATGGGCAGCTTGTTTTTTTTTTCCCCTTCTGCACAGTAACAGCACCTCCTTCCTTTGAGGGAAGGTCGGCTCTCTCCTCTCTGAGGTTTCGGTGAAGCAACCAATCACTGCCTTCCGTATGACGCAAAGCAGGCCAATCAGATCCTTCTCTGGATGTTTTATGTGCATGCTGGCAGAAGGAAACTTTCCCCCTGGATTGTAGCAACCCAAGCAGCAGGCAGGACCCCAGACTTCAGATTGGGAGACGGAGGAGAGGTAGAGATGGAGGGTGGAAGAGGGACAGGACAGGGGATGAGGGAAGGGAACGGTGGGGGGAGAGGAAGTAGGGGAGAGAATCTTGTCTGAGCCAGTCTTGAGTTAGCTGCCATATGTGCCGCTCTAGCCCTGCTGTTTCTTTGTTTAAATGCATGCACCAGTAATTTCCTCCTCTTCTTCTTTTTTTTTTTTTTTTAATTTCGTATACCAGTTTAAAATGAGTTTTCTGACTCTTGCAACCACAGTCTTGGATAATTACACCGGATTTACACTACCTACTCCCATACTCAAAAGCTCCAAGACAGAATAAAGCTGACTCATGGGTATACATTTAATGTAAGTTTTTTTAGTTAATTATAGATTTACAGTAAATACTACAAGGCGGCCGGTGCTGTGGCATAGCGGGTAAAGCCGCTGCCTGTGGCACCAGCATCCTATATGGGCACTGGTTCGAGGCCCAGCTGCTCCTCTTCTGATCCGGCACTCTGCTATGGCTCGGGGAAGCAGTAGAAGATGGCTCAAGTCCTTGAGCCCCTGCACCCACATGGAAGACCCAGAAGAAGCTCCTGGCTCCTGGCTTCAGATCAGCCCAGCTTTGGCCGTTGCGGCCATTTGGAGAGTGAACCAGCAGATGAAAGATATTCTCTCTCTCTCTCTCTCTCTCTCTCTCTCTCTGCCTTTCAAATAAGTAAATCTTTTTGAAAAAATAATAAATACTACAAGTAGTTCAGAAACGTCTCATGTACTCCTCACCCAGCTTCCCCTGGTGGTGATATCCTACCTAACTCTAGTGCAATATCAAAACCCAGAAACTGTTGCTAAAACATACTCCCCTCTTCTACAGACCTCACACATACTCTTTTCTGGGTATGTCTTTATGTATATTCCTCTGGCATCTTGTCACACGTGCACACTCATGCAGCCCCATTACATTCAAGATGCAGACGTCCTAATCCCACAGAGAAGCGTCCTGTGCTTCCCTTGTGTGGTGAGACCTGCCCTGCCTCCCTCTCCAGCCCACAGCAATCACTGATCTAGTCCCCACCTCCACACTTCTGCCACTTCTAGACTGTTCCATAAATGAAGTCACACAATATATGAGTTTTTCAGATTGGATTTTTTTTTCCATCAAGAGTAAAGTCCATCTAATATAGTCCACCTAGTCACCGTGCGTATTGAGTCGATTCCTTTGTATCGTTCTGCTGTGTGGATGGAAAACCGTTCCACAGCTTGGCGTTAGTTCAGTCTAGTGAAAATTCCTCATTCAGATATACTGGGGGGACGGATAACGGGAAAGACCAGAGCCTCGGGCTCCTGGACACACACAGAGATCTGCGAGCACTTGGGGTCTTGTCACAGATCCCGCGGTGGCGCCTGATGAGGTGTGCCCGTGGTCAGTTTCCGGACCCTCTCTGCCCATGCCAGCCACTCCGTCTCCACCGGCCCCCATTCAACAAGCACCTACGTAGCCCAAGACTTCTGCGCCCCTCGTTGCCTTACGAAGCCTCCTGGGCATCCTCCTGCCACCCCAGGCCATGCAGAAGGGCCCCGTCGACTCTTGCTCCATCCCGGTCAGGAGCCGGTGCCGTCACCTCAGAGGTAATGGAGTCCCTGCAGGCAACAGGCTCGGGGGGCAGAGCCCCCACTCAGTTCTAGCTCAGCCCCCTGGCTCTGCCAGAGAGGCCCTACTTGTGTCAGTCTCTCACCTCCTTGTTTCTCAGCTCTCCTCATTGTCAGCCGCGGGCATGGGCTGGTCTGATTTAGCCCAGCATCTCCATGAGGGCCTGGAGTCAGGAAAAATGTCTGCCAAGGAAGGCTTTCCCCAGGCTTTTCCCCAGGCACCTCTGTGCCTCCGGGGTCGAGGACGCTCAGGAGCCCGGGGGTGTGGCTGGTCATCTGGGGGACCGATGTCTCCAGGCCCCCCAAGATGCAAAGGGCATCGGCGGTCTTTCGCAGCCAAAGGGCTCTGATTAGAAACCAGAAAGTGGATAAAGCGAGTCAGGGACAGGATGGAAAAGGAGGGTAGATAAAAACTGAGGAAGCCCAAAGAAGGATGTTCTCACATCTTGTTAAGAGAGAGATTTTCCATCCATTGGTTCATTCCCCAGATGTCTGCTACAACCAGGGCTGGGCCAGGCTGAAGCCAGAGCCTGGAACCTCAGCTAGGTCTCCCATGTAGGATGCAAGTAGGGAGGCAGGGACCCAAGTACTTGAGCTGTCACCTGCTGCCTTTCAGGGTTCATCAGCAGGAAAGTGGGTTTAAAGCCAAAGAGCCTGCACTGTAACCAGGCCCTACGACATGGGACACAGGTGTCCCAGGTGGAGTCTGTCTTAACTGCACACCAGACGCCTGCCATGTTTGTGTCTGAGTTTTAAAATAAACGTGCGAGCTAACTGATTTGCAAATATTCCAGTCAAGGTAGTTTTGTTCATGACTACCGTCATTGAACATTCCCAACAGACACATGAACCCAAGGGCCCCGGGCTAGTCTGTCCTGAGGCTGAGCGTGCCGGGGGGGGGGGGGGGGGGGGGGGCAGTTACAGAGACTTCCGATCTCAACCCCAAAAGTCTTAGCACTGGTGTGCCCTTCAGAGTGCGCTGAGTTCCCTGGGCTGAGTTTATGCAATGAAGGCTTTGCTTTCTTATAAGGAGCAATGGCTTTTGAGATCCACTGCATTGTACAGAAGGCAGACCCTCGCTGAAGGAGAAAGGCACGGAAGAAGTCTGCATGTGATCAGCCGAAAGACGTGCCTCAGTTACACCACGGCAGGTGGCAGCTGGTGCTCCAACAATGGTCATTCAAATGTGGAACCCACTGCTAGACTGGGCTTTCCTAATTGGCATCGCTGCTCTCTTTTCTTTTCCGCTTTCTCTTCAGTTCCATTTCTAGGTCTGCTCTTTGGCCTCCAATAAGCGTCTTTCCCTCTCTGGGTTTCTTTTCTTTTCTTGTTTTTTAAAGCTATTTTGGCGGGGCGGGGGCGGCACTGTGGTGTAGTGGGTAAAGGCTCTGCTTGCAGCACCGGCGTCCCATATGAGTGCCAGTTTGAGTCCCGGTTGCTCCACTTCTGAACCAGCTCCCTGCTAATACTCCTGGGAAAGCAGTGGAGGATGGCCCAAGTCCTTGGGGCCCTGCATCCACATGGGAGACCTGGAAGAAGCTCTTGGCTCTTGGCTCCTGGCTTCAGATTGGCACAGCTCCTGCCCTTTTGCAACCATTTGGGGAGTGAACCAGCAGATGGAAGACCTCTCTCTCTCTCTCTCTGCCTCTGCCTCTGTGTAACTCTGCCTTTCAAGAAAATAAACAAATCATTAAAACAAAGTTTTTTTTTTTTAATTTAAAAGGCAGAGTTACATTTGGAGTTAAAGAGAGAGAGAGAGAGAGAGAGAATCTTTCATCCACTGGTTCACTCCTCAAATGGTGGCAACAGCTGGGCAGGGCCAGGCTGAAGCCAGAAACCAGGAGCTTCTTCCAGGTCATCCATTTGAGTGCAGGGGCCCAAGCACTTGGGCTACCTTCTGCTGCTTTCCCAGGCCATTATCAGGGAGCTGGATCAGAAGTGGAGCAGCTGGGACTTGAAACGGCACCCCTATGGGATGCCAGCATCTCAGGTGGCAGCTTTACCTGCTATGCTACAAGGCTGGTCTCCTCTCTGGGTTTCTTTCTTCCCTGTATAATGAACGATCTGGTTTGGTTGATTCAAAATCCATTAAAAAAAAAATTGAGAGGGGCCGGCACTGTGGCATAATGGGTAAAGCCACTGCCTGCAGTATTGGCATCCCATCTGGGCGCTGATTTGAGTCCTGGCTGCTCCACTTCCAATCCAGCTCTCTGCTATGGCCTGGGAAAGTAGTAGTAGCTTGGGCCCCTGCACCCACGTGGGAGACCCAGAAGAAGCTCCTGGCTCCTGGCTTCGGATCGGCACAGCTCTGGCCGTTTGGCCAACTAGGGAGTAAACCAGTGGATGGAAGACCTTTCTCTCTCTGCCTCTCCTTTCTCTGTGTAACTCTGACTTTCAAATAAATAAATGAATCTTTTAAAAAACAAATAAGTAAAACATTTGCGAGGCAAAGAGACAGAATTCCTAAGGACTGGTTCACTCCTCAGATACCCACGATAGTACCAGGAGCCGGGATCTCACAGAGGTCTCCCATATGGGTGTCAGGGACCCAAGTTCTTGAGCCATTACGTGTTGCCTGCCACCTTGCTCATCAGAGAGAAGCTGAATCGGAAGCCGAGGAGCTGGGATTCAAACCAGGCATTGGCACACGGGATGCGATGGTCCCAGCAGGTGGCTTAACCACTACTAGGCCAAACGTCCATCCTCCAAAACCCGTTTGATTTTCCTCCTACAACTGCTAAACCGTGTGAGCTACGCGGAGAAAACCATCCGTACCTGGGCCTTTGTCTGGACTCGCTGCCTGTGCGGAGCTGAGCCGGGACCTTGCAGCCTCCCGGACACCTGCTGGGCGGGGCTAAGGAAAACGCAGCGTCAGCTTCGTGGTTACCATAGCGACCTGCGGCTGCTCTAGCCTCTGTTTCCCCCTAGCGGACATCTAGGGAACTTGCAGCTTTGTCTTTCCCAGCTCTGTCCAGAGAGGCGACTTGCTTACTGGGCACGGCCCGTGTACTGCCGGTCCCTGTCATGAACCCCGGCTTCTCCCTCCTCCCTCCTTCCCCGCCCAGCCTCTCCAGCATCCCAGCTTCTCCGCCTGGGCCAGGCTTCTCTGGCTTTGTTGCTCAGGCCCAATAGCCCTGACTACCCCACTCCTTCCAGCCAGGGTTCTGGGGACCAAAGAGGAGCTGTCATCCAGGTCACCTCGAGTCCCTCTAGAGAGTTCAAAGATCCGATGTGACGTTAGCGGATGCACCCTTCCCTCAGCCGGATCTCCCCGCCCCATTCTCCCCGTCCCCACTCACAACCCTGAGGGTCCTTGTTCGTGCTTGTCCAGTGGACGGGACAGCCTGACTCCAGGGAACCCCCGCTGTGTGCCGGGGGAGGAGCACGGCAGCCTCAGCTGGAGGAGCGGAGCAGGCATGTGAGGAGCCAGCCCACCCGGAGCTCGGGCGGGCGGGGAAGTTCGGTGCCATGGAGTTTGCTGGGAGCACCGCCTAGGGGAAGGAGGACCCATCCCAGTCTGAGCTGGGCAGGAAGTCTTCCTGCAGGAAGTGGGGTCTGACTTGGGCCTTGAAGGATGAGTAGGCCACGGGGCTGGAGTAGAGCTTCCAGGGCTGGTTGACCTTAGGCGGCTTGGGGAGGTCTTCTCCTAGGTCCCCCTTCCTGGACACTGTCCACTGACCCTGCGTCACCTCCTGACCTTTGCCCCTTCTCACCCTGTGCCTATGGCAGCCCCGTGAGCGAAGCCAGCATCTGCTTGTCTCGTGGGTTTCCTACCTTGCCACATGCAGTTCCTTCTGCTTGGCCCGTTCTTCACTCTCCTGTCCGCCTGCTAAACTTAGCCATCCGTCAAGACCCAGCTTGATGTTCACCCATTTATGGCGCCCTCCTAGATCCACTCTTCTGTTTTAGGACTTTATTTATTTGAAAGGCAGAGTGACAGAGATAGAAAGAGTCTTCTTTCCACTGTTTAACTCCCCAAATGGCCGTGACAGTCAGAGCTAGGCCCGACCAAAGCCAAGAGCCTGGAACTCTATCTGGGTATCCACATGGGTGGCAGGTCTCCAGTTACTTAGGTCATCTTCCGCTGCCGTCCCAGGCGCATTAGCAGGGAGCTGGATCAGAAGCAGAGCAGGCGGCAGCTTAACCTGCTGCACCACAACGGCGGCCCAGAACCACCCTTTCAATCATGCATTCATTCCACGAACTCCTGTTAGGCCAACCAGTGTTAAGCCCAGGAGGCGGCCCCTACTCTGCAACTTCCTGTTCACCTGCCTGCCTCCCTAGCTGGCAGGCACCACCCGTGGGCTGGGGCAGTCTGAGCTGTGTCTTCTCTTAATCCCCAGGCTTGGACATTCACACTGTGAATGAATGGAAGCAGGAAGAAAGGAGGAGAAGCCCAGGGTCTTTTAGTAAAGCAACAAACAAGAACCGTCCCAGTCAACGGGGCCGGCACTGTCCAGCTCCCAGCTCCATCCCTGACCCTGTCCCAAAGGTATTAGGCCATATGTTATTAAACTAAAGTGAATTGAAACTGGCTTGAAATAACCACAGACTCCCCACTCTCCTGAGCCTGCAATGACCAGATTACATCTCCTGCAGGCACAGAAGTCTGACATTTCACTGCAAAGTCATTTTCTTCTCATTTCCTTATGTTGCTAAAATATTCTATTTCTCTTCGCTTCCCCTTTGTGTCCCCATTAGTCACGTTTAGTTAAATTTATCTGCTGCCATTTAATCATCTGACATGGGCTTGCTGGTGTGGACGTTCCTAGCGTCTGCCTGGCTTTCTCAGACCATCTGTCTCTTCCTGGGTGGCTCTAGAGCAGGATCCAGGCCCCTCCCCCGGTGACGGGGGTTCTGGGCTTTCTCCCCAAGACAAAGCTGGCTGCAGGGCCTGCCCTCCTCCCCTACACCCATTCTGCATCCCTCCAGCCTCCTCTCTCCTACTTCCTGGGGCATGGTCTTTGTTCTGCCTCCAGACCTGGCCCTTGTGGGGTCACCCTGGGCATAGGGATCCCAGGATTCTTCCTACTGGGGATTCAAGGAGTAAGGGTCAAGATCTCCAACGGGGCAGCCAAGGTGGGAGTTGCTGGCCTGCTTGGGCCATTGCCATGCGTGCTACGTGCCCGGAGCTGGCTGGCCTCTCCTCTCCTAGCCTCCCAACCTCATATCATAGTGGTGGGGCGCACTCTTCTCCCTGGAGACCTTGGCAAAGTCCAGCGAGGTGCACTGTGGTAGGGGGTGGAGCCCTAACTCGGCCTCTCATGAGCTCTCATGAGGGACTGGAGTCTGCACTCGGGACTGTTCAGGGCTGGGATGCTCGTCCCTCACCTGAGGCCTAGGGAATGGAGCTGCTGGCAGAACTCTCGGAAAGCTCAGAGACACAGTGAACCTGGATGACTCATGCCAGAGGAATCTCAGTGGCAGGAGACAGGCCGCAATGGCAGGAGCAGGTGCAGCAGGGAGGGGTGCTGCGTTGGGATCGGCCTGCCTGCCCAGAGGTGGTGAGGGCAAAGCAGGAGTGAAGGTTTCCAGGGGACGAGAGGTGGCCACTGATGTGAGAGAGCCGGCCTGGAGTCGTCTTAGAACCTGTCGGAGAAAACCTCCTAGAGGAGTGGAAAAACTCAGCGGAAGAAACTGCACGTCCCTGGGTGAAGAAGGGATCATAAAAGGACTCAGCTTATATTTCAACAAGGCGCAAGGGGAAAAGTAGCTCCCAGGGCTAAATTTAAAGGACAAAGGGAGACAAAGATAACTTGGTTTTTTTTTTTGGTTATATTTTATGAGTCGTGTTTGTAGTTGTGTTTGTACACAAACGTTATTTAATTTTTTTTTTCTGTAATAAAATGTCTTCTTGCATCAATTCATCAGGGCTGGCATTGTGGCGTAGAGGGTAAAGCCGCTGCCTGTAGTGCCGCCATCCCATATGGGCACCAGTTCAAGTCCCGGCTGCTCCACTTCCCATCCGGCTCTCTGCTATTGCCTGGGAAAACAGTGGAAGATGGCCCAAGTCCTTGGGCCCCTGCATCCACATGGGAAGACCTGGAGGAAGCTCCTGGCTCCTGGCTTCTGATTGCACGGCTCTGGCCATTGCAGCCAATTGAAGAGTGAACCATCGGATGGAAGACCTCTCTCTCTCTCTCTCTCTCTCTCTCTGCTTCTCCTTCTCTCTGTGTGTAACTCAGACTTTCAAACAAATAAATAAATCTTTAAAAAAAAGTATTCGGGGCCGGCGCTGTGGCGCAGTGGGTTAACGCCCTCTCCTGCAGTACTGGCATCCCATATGGACGCCGGTTCGAGACCCGGCCGCTCCACTTCTGATCCAGCTCTCTGCTTTGGCCTAGGAAAGCAGTAGAAGATGGCCCAAGTCCTTGGGCCCCTGCACCCGCATGGGAGATCCGGAAGAAGCTCCTGGCTCCTGGCTTCGGATCGGCATAGCTCCGGCCATTGCAGCCAATTGGAGAGTTAACCAGCGGATGGAAGACCTCTCTCTCTCTCCCTCTCCCTCTCCCTCTCCCTCTCTCTCTGTAACTCTTTCAAATAAATAAATCTTTAAAAAAAAGTATTCATCTTGCTAGAACAAGATCATATCTCTACTCTGCACTTGTCTATGCATTCCTTGATCTCTGATTGCAAGTAGGTCAAACCACCTATTGTCTTTAATATTTCCTAAAAACTTTATGTTCCTGGAGTCTCATCTCAGTTAATTTTCCAAACAACCCGAGGAGGGAAGAGATTGTGGTCTTCCTTCCCTGTTCCGTGTCTGATGATGAGAAATTAAGAGGGTCCCAGAGCTACTTAGGGGTCAGTTTCAGAGTTAGGGTTCCCTGGGGCTGGCAGGGTGTATGTGTGTGTGCAGGCAGTAGGGGCGCAGCTGCTAGGGACTGAATGTCTAGGACACCCCAAATGTATCTGTTGAAACCCAATTGCCAATGTGACAGTCTAGGAGGCAGGGACTCTGGGAGGTGATCAGATGATAAGGGGTAGAGCTTTCATGATTAGGACCTGTGCCCTGATAGAGGCCCCAGGGAGCTCACCTGCCCTTTCTGTCATGTGAGGACACAGTGAGAATCTACCTGTATGAACAGAAAGTGGGCCCTTACCAGATACCACTTCTGCTGGCATATTGATCATGGATGTCCCAGCCTCCTGTGAGAAAAAAAGTTGTTTCTAAGTCACCGAGTTTCTGGTATTTCATTATAGCAATTCCAACAGACCAAGATAGCAGCCCTCTCCCTCACCTCCATCCCCATACCCCTCCCCACCCCTGCAGTCATGCAGATGCCCTTCCAGGAGGTTCTGCGTGGGGCCTGCTGCCAGACAGCAAGTAGCCCAAGATGCATGAGGCACCCTGTCCCTTGGAGACCCCCCCAAATGGGCCCCCTTACTGGATAGTGGCTCTTGAACTACTGAGTGTCATCAGTCCAAAGCCTTGTTAATGTGAGCTCAAGTGTTGGGGTCAGCAAGAACCAAGGGCCTGTCTACAGAAAGAGGGGATGCCCAGAGTCAGGCAACGAGTGACCAGTGCCAGGGGGACTCTGCCCACAGTCAGTCCCCAGGGGGCCTGGCAGGACTCACATCTGGCTCCCTCCCAGAGGCTCCCTGGGCCCCAGCTGTTGACAGTTCTATTTTCACATCAATACATCCCTGACTGAGCAAGTCTAAAAGCCAGATTTTGTGAAAAATTTACAATTCTCTGCATGTACCTGAGTCTTCTTTCTTTTTAAAAGATGTATTCGAAACGCAGAATGGGAGAGAGACCTTCCATCCTCTGGGTTCACTCTTCAAACGACTAGGCTGGGGTGAAGCCAGGAGCCAGGAACTCCATCCAAGTCTCCCCATGGGCGGCAGGTGCTCAAGTACTTGGGCCATCTGCTGCCTTCCCAGGGGCTTTAGCAGGGAGCAGGACACGGAGCAGAGCTGGGACTCAAACCAGCACTCTGATACAGAATGCTGATGTTGCGAGCAGTGGCTTAACCTGCTCTGCCACATCGCAGGCTCTCAGTCTCCCACGCTTAATGCCAGTTACTCATGGGTGCTGCACCTCCAAGAGGGCAACGTGCCCCAAGAGACCCAGCCTCCTCCCTGCCTTGTTTCCTTGGCACAGACTGCAGGCTGCAAGCGGCCCCGGGTGCGGACTTGTGGCTGTGGCAGCAGCTGGGAGGGAATGAGGCCCCGGGGGATTCCAGCCCAGGCACATGCACCTGGCAGCTGGGGGGAGGGGATGTCACTGGGAGCTCAGGGCAGCTGATGTCGGGCTGGT